GGCCTCACCTTGAGTAATGTGTGCACATTTTGGGTGTCACAATATGAAAAGGACATTAAACTATTAAGTGTCCAAAGGAGGACCACGAGGATGCTGAAGGGTCTGGAGGGGAAGCCATATGAGGAGCAGCTGGGGTCATGTAGTCTGTTCAGCCTGGAGGAGACTGAGGGGAGACCTCATTGCAGTTACAACTTCCTAATGACAGCTAGAGGAGGGACAGGTACTGATCACTCGTCTGTGATAACTAGTGACAGGACTCAAGGAAATGGCATGAAGCTGCATCAGGAGGGATTTATGCTGGAGATCAGGAGAAGGTTTTTCACTCAGAAGGCACTGGAACAAGCTTCCCCAGGAAAGTCTTACAGCACCAAGCCTGACAGAGTTCAACAAGTGTTTGGACAAGGCTCTCATCACATTGTGATTCTTAATGGGAGCTGGACTCGATGATCCTGATGGGTCCCTTCCAGTTCAGCATATTCTGTGATTCTATTAACTCAACTGCAGTTGATTTCATTGCCTGCAGTTGTCTGTGTCAGAGACCCACAGCAGCATGCCACTGATGTGCTTTTTTCACATGCATGTGCTCAGCTAGAAAATCCACTCAGGAGCTTCCTGAGAGCCTGTTGCAATATAACCTGGTCTTCTGGAGCCTACAAATCCCTGTGAACTCCTCAGATTGCTTCTTCCCACTGACAAAGTATTGTTTTGAGATACATCTGGTGTCAGGCGTAGGCATATGGCACCAGTATGGCAATGCTGGCTCCGGGGGTGGTTTCCTGCAGAAGAGGTCTGGCTGAAGGCAGTAGTCACTGCCTACTGAGAGTTATTATTATTTAGCACCCAGGTCTTTGTGAACTTGTTTGACTGGTGGCTGGGCAGAGTGCCATCGGAGCGTATGGACATGAGCAGAGACAGCTGAGTCTCCAGGGCCTTACACACATCACATGTGGGTACTGAGGTCAGGCTTCTCAGCAGGGAGAAGCTAAATGACTGTCTGTCCCAAGCACGTGTACCTGTGGTTGACGGGATATGCCATCATTAATCCAAATCTGGGCTGTATTAAGCTTCTAAAATAAAAAACAGCTTTGCCAGCCACTTGAAGAGGGCTGGGGGCCTGTTTGGATCTGTGCATTAGTGGGGAGGGAGGGAGGGAAGGAGCAGGGAGGCAGAGCAGGGCTGATGTGAGCCATGCTCCACAGTACTCCTCCCCACGGGCTGAGATGACCTGACCCCCCCACCAAGGCAGGGGGCAAAGGGTGCTGCCCTTCTCCCTCCAGCTGCAGACCTCTTCAAGGGCTGGGCAGCATTTCTGTTTGTGAGGCCCAGCCCTCTCTTTGCTGTAACAAGAGCATGGACATCTCCTGTTTTGTTTCTTAATTATGTTTTCAGCACGGTTCTTGCAGTGGCTGGAGCAGAAGCTTTGGCATTTGAGTAGCAGAATTGCCTGTTTGCCAGGCAAAATCCCCAGGTTTAGCAGCCTGAGCTCTCTCTTATGCTTGGGCAGCGCTCCCACATGGAACTAACTCAGGTTTCCCCCTTTGGCCCTTGGAGATTCACAGAGAGGCAGAGCATGCACAGGGGATGAGGCAGCAGCCCCAGTATTGTGGCCCCACTAAGAGTACAACATCTGGGTGGAAGATCACAAAGCCAGAAGCACCAGAAATACTTTAGTAAGGCCATTGAGAAAGCTAAGGAGAGACAGAAAAAGCAAAATCCAGTAGGCTGTATTTGCATAGAGGGAGAAAACACCTGAGCATTATGCTGAAGTACATGCTGAAGTGATTCACAGCACAGTGCAGTTCAGAGGAATGCAGATGAGCAGACACTGCGATTTTGCCTGTCTCTTGTGGGTCCCAACACAGGGACAGATGCTTTGTGGCACCCATAAAAAGATAATGCTGGGAATCTCCTAGCCTTAAATGCTGCTTTTCTACTGTGAACACTAAACTCCCTGTGGAATTCTTCTGACATGATTCCTCCTACATTTATTTATATGCTGTTGCCATATACTGTGAAACTGGCTGCCTCTGTCCTCTGCAACAGGTAACTAAGCACCTACAGTATAAAATATCCCTAACTGAAGAACTGGGAACCTTTACCATTGTTATTGGAAAGTGCCATGAGGTTTCCCTAGAAGGGTGTGGCAGAAGTGCAACCGAGGATATGCTGTTATTTTAAAACCCTGACCATGTGCTGGTTCCTCCCCCTTTGAAGTCAGTGGCAAAGCTGTTTCAGAGGAGCAAGACTACTTGAACAGGCAAACAAGAGGCAGCCTGGGGGCAGAAGAGGCTTACAGGGAATGGTTTCTGCTGCTGTCCTTGAGCACAGAGCTGTTCAGACAGACTGGAGACTTGTCAGCCACTCTCTCCCATTAAGACTAAGAAATGAATGCTTTTCAAGTTGTTAAATGAATAGGCTTAATCTTACAGCCCTTACTCATCTCAGTACTGCCATTAATTTTAAGAAAATAATCACTGTATTAAGTGCTATGGAATGGAGTCCTTAAATTGTTAAATTCTAATATTTGACAGAATTTTTTATTGGATAGAAAAATAATACTGACATAATTAAAAGGATGTGAACATTTCACCTTTTGAAGACTGCAAGCTGCTTTGGAGGGAGATGTAAAACTAGAAGAAAACTAGAAGCAGTGCAGAGAGCCCAAGCCCATGTCATGCCTGTAGGTTATTTTTGAACTTTATGAAAAACACACTTTAGCAGTTTATATCCTGACCATTCAACTGTATTCTGGCATTCTAAATGCAAAAACATGCTAACCATGAAAGCAGAACTTTTAAAAATACACTGTCCACTTGGCTTCTTTGCCCTGCTTCAGAGTCTCCCAAGTTTGTTTGGGACAAACTTGGGAACTTTGTTGTGGAATGACTGTTTGAATTGGGGTTTCTTAAAATACATGTGGAGCCTTGTAGCTGCTGTGGGGTGTACCCAGTGGTGGAGCTGTACTATTTTAAAATCATCTGGCTATTTCACTTCATGTAAGAATATCTGTCAGCTTAGTTATAAGGAATGAGAGGGGTTGATTAAAACAACTCATGAAGCCATTAAACAAAGAGATAAAATGTAGAACATGTGCTGTAGGGTCATTTTAATTATAATGTAGGGGGAATCTGTGGAAACTGGATGGCAGCTGCAGAGTAGCTGAGTCTTAAACCCCTCTTAACAGTACCAACAGCCTGTTCCTTAGGGGTGGAGTTTCTTTTCTGTAAAGCTAGGTCCTTTGGAAATGGTGTTTGGAAGGTACCTCTTATTGCTATGACTGACCATAATGGAATTGCTGTGCTCAAGCACTTGGATACAGACTAAAACAGGCATTTATGTACACTAATCCTCTAGTCATTAGGTGCTAGACTACATAACAAAAGAGAAATGTATGCAGAAGCATTAGTCAAGAGGGGAATGTATAAAGATGTCAAGTGAACAGTCAGGAAGATCCAGAGAGAGTGCAGAAGGAAAAAGGTAATGGCAGCTTTTTTCATTGTCTTGATTATCTTATTAGGTCAAAAAATCCTGTAATGAATATGCTGCTGTATGCTGTAAGTATGTCTATTAAGTTCACTTAGCATATACTTTGGCTTTAAACAATTTATCAATTTATCAAAATTTCTTTATTTATCAGTTATCAGGCAGCCACATGAATTCAGTAAAAACTGTTTAAACTTCCCATTTAACTTTATTCTTAATAACCTAGTTATAGGCATCAAGAGCATAATTAATTCTAGCCCTGTCAGAAGGGGTTTCAAGTCTCTCATGAGTTCAAATCAGTCTCTAGCCACTAGAAACCATCACGAGGAGCAGTAGGAAAAGGAGGCAACAGATGTCAAAGGTCTTACAACCCCATCCACTTCTCCCAGAGACAGGGCCATTACCTAGGTAGGCACTGGGTCTAGTTCAGCTTGGCAGCTCCAGTGTTCCTAATTCAATTAAGTTTACTGAAAAATCTGCCATCTTTTTATGCAAATGAAATATGATAATTTGGTTAACCCTTTGTCATTGAGTAAAGTGTGTTCCCAGATAGGAATACCAATACTTTAATATATCCAGTCATTAAAATATTTAAAAAATTGTATAAAATAAAGACATACAATTCAGTACCAATTATATTAAAATGGAAAATAATTATTTAAGAAGAGCATGGAAGACTTGAAGGAGTTACTGCTTCTTGCTCTTGGCTGTAGCTTGTAGGCACATGAAAGCCTGGGGACTGTTCCCTTGAGGACTTCAGCTGTTTTGTTATTTTAAATACATTGAAAAGTGGTAGTTGGGAAAGATAACAGTCTCCATACTGGCTGGTGGGGCACTCTACCAGGTAGCCAGGGTACCCATCACACCAGACTGGCTCCTAAGCATCCCCAGCTAAAGAAAATATACAAAGATAACTCAACTGCCATTAGGATGAGGATGAGTTCTGCTTAAACAGTGTAAAGTAAAATGTGGTTCCCTTTGTTCTTACCTTGGTAGCAGAAGAATCAAACATTGATGCAACGAGACACAGCTTGTCAGCTGATGCTCTCAAAACAGCACACCTTGAGGTGAACTTTGGAGGTTTTTTTCACAGACTTTCCTCAAGCTGCCTGAGTTAAAATTTAGAGGAGAGAGAGTTCTCCCTGATGGGATGTCATGGGCCAGGATGCCATTTTCTGTTTGGCTGGCATCTGGTTAGCTGAAGTTCTCACTTCTGGAAAAGAAATTAGGCACTTTACCATCACTGTCATGGAAAGGTTATCTCAAGTTTTTACCATCAAGCTCAGACTCATCCTGTATTTTCCCTAGGACCAATGGAACAACACATTTTAGGGTCAAAGTTAGTTCTTTGCATGTGTCCTGTTGCTTTAGTCGAGTTACTAGTATGCAAGGAATATGAATACAGTTCATACAGTGATTCAAAAATACAAAATGCTAATTACACTATGCTTCCCTAGGGAGAGAAATGAAGATGTCTGACCATGTAACCCCTCTCTTCTCTGCCTTTTTTCCTCCAGTCCTCCGTGATGTCAGTCTGTTTTGCCCGCTTTCACCCAAACCTGGTTGTCGGTGGAACATACTCTGGCCAGATTGTCCTGTGGGATAATCGCAGTCACAGGCGCACTCCAGTTCAGAGAACTCCCCTGTCTGCTGCTGCTCACACGGTAAGGATAAAAATCACCTCCTCCTTCCTTAGAGGAGATGGTCAGCAGGGAGAGGCAGCTGCCTAGGTGTGTCTACAATGCTAGTCGCCACACAGATGAAAACAGAACTGCGGCCCTTGAAGAGAAAAAATTAGATCTGAGATGTGAACAACCACCTCTTTTAAGTGTTTAATCATCATATGTTGTACAGTCAAGCCAGGACATTATTCTCCTTTTTAAGGAGGAAGGCAGGATTGAGTACAACACTTGAGTGAGGCACCTATGTGCCAGCACAGTGGCACTGTAATTCTTGTCCCCATTGTCTGAAAAGAGAGCCATGCCACTGTGGAGGCTGTATGCCTCTCAGTCTGATGTGGCAGGCAATTTAACTCATTGTTTTGGTGTACACAAATTTCTCCTTTGAATCAGATTAGGCACCTATGAGGGTCTCATAGTGGATTCCTGTAAGTAGATGCTGGTGCCCTCAGAAAAATGGGGCAATTTGCTTCTGTTTTCTAATAGATCAATACATAAATACATAATTCCCTGCCATGGTCTTCTGATCCAGACAGGGCCACAGGGCAGAGTTTGCACACTGAGGGAGAGTTTGTTTCAATGGAATGATGCAGGAGAGTATTTTGTTGACACACACAGGTACTTACAGATAATTATTGGTGGTGGCAATGGGCTCTAGTGATGTCTGGACAGAGCAGTAACACAAAATGCCTGAGAAAGAAGAGACTTTTTCTGTGGTACAAGGATGATATCTGTGATAGGAGAGTCTCTTACACTGCAAAGCACTCATATTGTGCTGGAGGAAGAGACAAGCCTAGGTTGCCTGATAAAGTGTCCTGACTCTGCTATGGCACTGACATCCAGTCCATCCTGCACAAACGCCTTGTGCATTCTCCTCCTTCAGAGTCTGGGGATGGGCGGACTCTTCAGGAGAGATGGAACGTGGAGTAGCTCATCCTGGGAGCAAGCTTAGGGCAATTCCTGAGTGGAAAGCAGAAAGGATGAGAAAAATGTGAAAGTGTGATATAAGAGTGCAGAAAACCACAATTTTTCTGTAACATAAAGAACTGAACTCGACAAAGCACTCTGAGAGATAAGAGGATAATCTTATTCTAGCAGATTGAAGGTTCAGACAAAGTGATAGTACTTTTGCAGCTCCAGCTTTTTCAATTCTGTGATTCTAATGTTTGGAATTTGCAGATCAAGGTTCATCTTTCAGTTGACTGTGACAACATAATCCTTGGAGTTAAAAGATAACTCCAGAAGCCATGGCACGTGAATTACTGCTGAAGATTCAGTATGGGGCCAGTATTATGTCTGCAAGTCCCTTATATTAAAAATTACAGGTGTGCACAGACATGCTTAGTGAGCCAGGCAATACAAATATTGCTCCCTAAATTTCCACTATCATGAATGTTGATGTAATTATCTAATGATTTGTGCCATGGGTTGCAACTTCAGCATTGCTTTTCATTTCCCTAATGTTTTTGCTCAATTTTTTGCCACTAATGTTGTTCAATCTGCATGAAAAGAAACAGTCTCTCCTGGAAGTGCAATTTAGAGATGTAGCAGACCAGAAAACTAGTGGTAAGAAGCTGACTGTCACTGAAAATTGAACAACTGGGACTCAAAATCTAGTGGAAAAGCAAAGATTAATGGGAAGTAATTTGTTTACACTCAAAAATCATTTAAGGCAAAATTGTACCGCCTGGAATTATATATTAAAACAGTTTTATTATTGCAGTAGAATAATATGTAATGTTTTCCTTTTGAAAAATATAAATAAATTACTTTCAGTTGTGGATGGGCACTTTATGTGCTGTCATGGATTGGTATAAATAAGTGTTTACACCGTCTAACATGAGGAAGTATGATGTTTTAAGGAGTGCTCAGATTTTACAATAAGAGTTGCTTACTTACATAAACTGCAAATGAGGTCTTGGTTGCAAAAGGCTGGTTTGGATCCTTGCTGCCAAGAAAAAAATTAAATTAAGACAACGCTACATTAGCAATGTTACTTTTTGTACTGCTAGATACGTGAGCTGAATAATCTTTTTTTAATTCGAACTCATGCTGTATGTGAAAAAAGGATTTTTCTCTTCTCTTTCTCTTGCTTTGTTTATTTGAAACAGATAGATCATGTTGTTTTCCCTGACTTAAACCTTCCTGAAATTTAGTATCACTGATTACTGCCTGGATTCACCAGGAAAGAGAATTCTACCCACAGCTTACTCACTAATTTCCTTTCACACCCACCACACATCTGCACTTGGGACAACAGGAAATTTTAATTAAGACAAAACCTTTTTGCATGATGATTTCATTTCCAAGATAAATAAAAGCAAGCTGGCAGCAACCCTTTGAAAGGAAGGAGCCTGTTTAGACTTTCTGTTACATACAGTTGGTTGTCTTTTTCATCCGCTTTCCTTACATCTTTTCATTTCTGCCATGAGTTTTATTGTGCATGAAATTGATGGCTGGTAGCCCTGATTAAAGCCAGGCCTGAAACACTGAGATGCTGCTGGAAAGACGTGGCTCACTCTTCCCCCCACCACTAAATATTCTAGATATTCCACTGCTTGCTGTAGCTTCCTCTCACCCACGCTGTCTGTTTGGTCTACTGGAGGTAAAAGCCCATGAAAAAAATAGGTCTATGCTTATTTCACACATCAGTATGCAGTAATCATGTTTAGCACTGGGGTCATTAGCTTACACTAAGCAGCAAGAAGGTCCATGATAGGAGGGTAATAGTGTGAGACACATGTGAGGGACTAATTGGGGTGCATTTGATGATCTGGGAGAAACCAGGTGCCTGACAATCTTGAGAGAAAGAAAAAAAAATAGCATCAAATGGACCTTGTGACTTACTGGTGTGTATAGGTTTCCTCAAGTACAAGGTGAAAATATCAGCACCAACTGCTCAGTCCGTCTCAGTGTGGGCACAAACACTGTTTGTACAGGTGCTGCACCTTTTGCTCTTGCAGAGGGGACATTTACTGGGCCCACTCAGGTATCAAACCTGAGAGTGAGCCAGAGCTCTTGAGCATTTCTGCCATTCCCCACTGACTGGGTAGGTGACCTGCAGCTGGATCTTGACGTAAGTGGCATTTCTGCCATTCCTTTCAGCAGGACCAAATGCTACATTCCTAACACTACATGCAGTTGCTTAGAAGCTCCCTAGGGATCTCTTGCAAGTTGCAATCTTCTTTAATTAAGCAAAGTTTTAGAGAAAAATTGTTTTTTCTTTCTAGAGGTCTTGTATTTATTGGTAAACACAGCAAAAAAATTAAATTTTTCTTTGCTTGACTTTTGTATATTTCTAACCCTTAATTTAGCAGTACCACTTGTACTGGTCAAAGGAAATTAAATCTTATTGTTCAGTCTGACTGATTTTTCGCTCTGGAGATTGCTGAACTGGACCCATCCCTCATATGTCACCATCAGATATCAGATGATATTTCAGGCTCAAAATGTTACCAGGTTTCTTGGAAAAGGAATAGGCCAAGTTTCATTATGCATATTAACTGGAATTCAGCCTCCATGGAATGACTGCACTATGATGAACCAGGTGTAACACCCTAAATCTAGTCACTCCCCACTTATAATGACAGATTTTAAAAGGTGTATTGGCCAACACTGAAGAACATCGATGGGCTTGCTCATGTTCTTCAACTGGAGTACATTTGCAAATATTTAGCATGCAAGCCAAATTCTGACAGAGTTCAAGTTTTATGCAGCTGTTTTCTTGAATAAAGTTTTCATTTTTATTCCATTTGGACAGTTTTCCTCTTTCTGCTGGTTATTTTCAGTGTCAAAAGCCATCAGTAGAATGATACATGTCCCTGTGGGTGAAATCTCATCCACATAATTCTGTATTTTCACAGCATTACTCAGCTGGGCTGTTTTATTATGAGGAAAATGAAACTTTGAAAACATTTCCACCTCCATAATGTACTTCTTAATATTTAAATGAAAAAGAAACACAATAACCCAACTAAAGCAATTCCTATCTGGCAAAAGCTAAGTCTTATATTTTCCAGGCATTGTGTGACTATTTAATCATTCTTTAAAATAACATAGGAGACATTAGAAATTTGTTTGTGAAAGCATAAGAATGGCTCTCTGACTTCCAGTGTTCTGTGCTTTCAGCATCCTGTGTATTGTGTGAATGTAGTTGGAACACAGAATGCACACAATCTTATTACTGTCTCTACGGATGGAAAAATGTGCTCCTGGAGCCTGGACATGCTCTCAACTCCACAGGTGGGTTTGTTTTCACCAGCGTGGGGGGGGAAATTGTCTTTGGTAGAGCAGGATACCTGCATAGTGGAACATAGCTCCTAAGAGACAAAATCTTGCATCCTATACAAACTAAAACCAATGGATGCACTTGAAAGAGTACAGCTTGCTTCCAGCAGTCTCTGCTAAGAGCCAAACCCCATTTCCTTTACCACAAATCATGTAATTATTGTAATACGTTAATACATAGGTCAGTTTCAAGTGAAAATGAAATAGTCCATTTTAAAGCATGGCAATTACAGAAGTCGCCTGTGGTATAAATTGCACTTATTCTACAGCATTGTTTAACAAATATGGACTAGATTGCACTGCTGCTGAACACACCCTAGGCACTGCAGGTTTCCAAGGCACAGTCAGAAACTTATTTTGCTGGCTGCCTTCAGTAGCCAAAGGAACAAACAATGCAAATCAAAAGTTTTAGAACTAATTCTCCCGCACTGGAATGTTTGCTACTATTGTCTGTTCCCCCCTCCTCTCCTTTGTATCAGAAATGAAAGGAAACACAGGAAAATTGCCCAAACCACTAGTGATTATAATAATGGAAACTAAACAAAGAATCCAATGCTGAAAAAGGTGTACAGAAAGCATCTTTTAAGTGTTATCTTCTGAAGAAATACATTTGCTATTCTAACACATCACTCATTTTTATACAGAATTTCTTAGAAAAAAATTAATATAATTTTTACGAAGCATCATGGGATCTGATCTTGTTTCAAAATGCTGCATAGAAACTCCCTATAATGATTCCATTAATCATGCACTAATGTGCAATTATTATTGAATTATTTGCTTTTCAGTGTTTACACAAGAGGTGGGACTCCTCTATCCTAACCTCAGCCATCTAAAAGTTGATGTGTCAAGTCTAAGTTAGAAATTCAAGTTTTCTGTACCACTGAGGTGGAGAGAGGCTGGTACTTCTGGAGGGTGACTCATCCCATCCAAGTGTGAAAAGCCATTTCAGATACCCACCCTGGGACATGGAACTGTCCTATCTTAGGGTGGAGGAGGATTCTGGAAGTCATCACATCTACTCCTCTACTCAAAGTGAGACCAACTTCAAATTTTGACCACATTGCTCATGTAAGGCAACAGTGTGGGGCTGGTAGTTGTGCCCTGGGACTGTAAGAAACCAATACTCTTCTGTAGTAGAAATGGAGGCATCTAAAATGGCCCTGGCATAATGCCTTCCACAGTTTCTCACCTAAACATCAAGAAGATAAATCAAATCTCACCCCTACGTATTCATTTACTGGAATACTAAAGTCTGAAGCACAGATCTGTGAACATCTGAGTTCCAGTATCTCATCACTCAAATGGAATTTCCCTGCTCCAAATCTGGCTCTCGACAAGGATGGGAACACACCCCACATTACACTGAAGTCTGGCACATGGCTCATGGTGATCTAGAAAAGAGAGGCACAGGACTTGACGTCAAGCTGCCTGCCATAGCTTTAAACTGGGAGGAGTAAAGTGTTGCTGATGTGTGTCAGTCTGAAACTTTCCAAAGACACAGCTCCAGAGCACTTGTGTACAGTCATGGTGTGGGCGCTGGGAGCAGAGTGTCCACCACAGTCTATGGCCATGCCTCTGCAGAGACACTAAATGATGATCTCACCCCAGAAGGTTGTAACAAAAATATATGGTCTCTCTCCCATATAACAGAGTTTCTCTCTCTCTCACTCACATGTTTACGGAAATATGGGGTGGTCTCCCAATGCATTTTCCATGCCTTGTTTTGCCTTTATAATAGAACCGAATTTATTTCAAAGAAAAGCATAAACCAAGCAGAAGAATTTCTCTGTGGGTTTGCATCACTCTCCTTTCACAGGGATACCCAATTTCTTTACAGAAAAAAAGCCCTTTTGAGAAAAACCGTACAGGCTTTGGCCCTAGAAGAACAGCAGCACAGACCTTTTAAACATAGAGAACATAACCACTTAAATAGCTAAAAATGAAAATGGTTAAATCATTCAGGCCTTTTGTGGATTCTTGGGTTACACCATTTAGGCTGAAAAACTAAAAATTTGTGCAAAATCTGCTCAAAGTGTACACATCTTGCAACAGCCACAAACTTGCATGGTTATTTTATTTGCAATTGCAAAAACGGGCATGCTGATTTACTTTAAAATATAGCTACCAAATGAAAACAAAAAACATTCCTGCTGGTTTGTAGCTTGATGGTGGAGTCTAGAGGGAGTGTTTATGGTTACCTCAGAAAATCCCTGAAAAGCAATGCTTAGAATGGTGGTAGTGACAGGACCCCAACTTTTTAATTTTGTTCTGCAAAGGGACAAATGACACAGTGAAATAAATGCCTCACATGCACATGATATTGCAAGAGCTTCCTGACAAGTGATTTCCAGAATGTAAATAGAAGGGTATTGCATGATTTATTAAAGCCTGGGGCTGGCAAATGTAACCATTAAGGTATTATCTTTAGTTTCTGCACCATTAGATTTCAAATTCTCACCTGTCATCTCTGGCTGATTTAAGATGATGCAGAAAAGGCCAGTGCCTTCCTGCCAGTCTCATATGTGTGACAGACAGCACTGGGGATGGCAGGAGCATCCTGGTTTGTGACACTGCATCTTCTTACAACATCTTATGTAGAAACCAAATGTGACTGGGTCAAATGATTTCATCTTCCTCTCCTGCTACTCCATGTAATATTTAGAAATCAGTTTTAAAAAAACCCCAACCCAGACTAACGAAAGGAGGATGCCAGCATAATAACAAAAACCTGTTTTGGTAGGAGAGCATGGAGCTGGTATACAATAAGTCCAAACCAGTGGCGGTCACAGGAATGGCTTTCCCAACTGGAGATGTCAATAACTTTGTCGTGGGCAGTGAAGAGGGAACAGTCTACACAGCCTGTCGTCACGGAAGGTGAAGTTCAGCATTTTGTACTTATAAAACGTTGTGTACTTGTGTTGATGAGAGATAGCCAAGTGTGTGTGGAGAGTGTTCAATATTTTCTTCTCTTGGATCAACAATGTTTGTACTGTTCCTGTGACCAGCACAGGAGCTCCCTGACTTTCAGCATCTTTGCTACAGCCTGCTATAGTGGGGCAGTTACCCCAGGCTCCCCGTGTAGCTGGTTGGGAGCAATGATTACCCTAAGGCTGACTTTATTTACCTTTTTCAGTCATGTGCCTGAAGAGAAGGTGGCTGGGCCCTCAGAAATACCTCCTTCTCACCTGTGAGATGAGATGAGATGAGATGAGATGAGATGAGATGAGATGAGATGAGATGAGATGAGATGAGATATGAGATGGAGGTTTACACAGCTGTGTACAGGTTTATACACCTAGCTGAGACACCAGTGTCTATGTCTGCACAAGTCAAACAAGGCCCTCAGAGACACTTCTGTTGCAGGGTAATCAGGCCTAAACCAATATCGAATGGTAATCTGTTTTATTTTTTACCATTCTCAGCTCCATCTTCAGTCTCCACAGGAATAAATCAGAGAAAAGCCACCATGGGCCTGGTTCCATTAATAAGACGGATGCAGCCACAGTGTGCCACATGGGTTCTAGACAATCCTGTGCTTTCTCACGCTGTGGTCACACATAACATAACCCAGGCTGTAGTTTGGTATTGCAAGTTCCTTGTTTGGCACCCTGCAAACCTGCAGGATGCTAGTGTGATCTCTTAGCTTCCAGTAGTAGTTTTATCTCTGGGAAACTTGAAAGGCTTTTGTAAAGAACAAAAGCTTGGTTTTCCACTGACAGACGTGGAGCTCATCTGCCCCGCAATATTCTGTGAATTCATATTTTATCATATTCCGAGTTTATGTTGGCCAAAAAGACATTGATACAGTGATTTAAGATTGTAAGGCTTCTGTTACACATCCCAAATATTTTATAAATACTGCTTCACATATGTTTTGTTCAATGACTTTTTATTTTTATATATTTTTATTTTAGCCTGACAGCTGACAGTGTTGCAAAATTGTGTCTATTTAGACATGATTTGAATGAGTCTTAGGCTACTAGGATGAATGAAGCATGCCCAAGGGCATTTCTCACTTCTGAACTTTCAGACTTGCCTGGTTTGTTCCTCACAAGAGGAGGAAGGTGTCAGATCCTCTTTTAGTACACCTTTTTAGAAGCCTTCTGCTGACCATTGACCATTGGTCTCAGTGCTCCAGAACTCCCCCTACCTCACTGACTACGTGGCAGAGAGCTGGGATAAAACAAGAGGTGTCCTTTGTATCCAGCACTGCAGGGCTCAGCCCCTGCTCCAGCACATGCTCCGAGGTCTGGCAGGGGAACATAAGTGAGATCACCCTGTCCACTCTGGAGAGGTGAGGGGACACTGCACCAGCTGGATGAGGGAGCAGTTTCCTCTGGCACAGCTCCATATCTCCTTTCACACTGGCACAGGGCAATTTTTCTATAATCTAGCTAAAAGGGTAATTTCATTATTCCCTTTTCTGTGTATACTGTGAGACAGCACTGACAACTGATCTAGCATCATTTGCTTCCAGGAAGAAGAAAACTGTGCACATTGCCTCTTACACAGCGTTGTACTTTTCCCTGCTAATAGATATTCCAGCCTCTGGCTGATGAAATGCACATCTCCCCTTGTTCAAAGTAATGACTATATGATACCTGATCGCAGGATCAATTACTTCACTTTTTGTGAAAAAGCATTTGCTTCCTAGTGACTTGATTGACTGCTATGAAAAGTTATCTTAGATATTTAAGAGAAAAATAATTGCCCATGATAAGTCATTAACATATCTGCATTTTTATTTCAATGGTTATTCCTTGATAATGGCTTACTCTGAGGCATAAGCTATAGTATAATTACAATTTAGAATTTTATAATTATACAGAAGTGTTACTTCAATCTACAGGAGTAGACCATGTATGTAGAAGTGAGTAAGGTAAATCTTCAGAAGTAAGAGAAATTCTCCCTGTGCTTGATTCTAAGTGTTAATGTTGCCCACTGGAGTAAACTTCTGCAGGCAAAGTCCTTAGCAGAAGGAGAAAGATTTGCAGGTTAAATAGAACTTTAAAAGGAAACAGGACCCTAACAGTAAAGAAAAGTTATGTTAAAACACTAGGTGTTGAACCACTCTCTGTATGTAAATCCTTCTTCTTCCTGCAGTAAAGCTGGCATTGGTGAAATTTTTGAAGGCCACCAAGGACCTGTCACAGGAATCAACTGTCACATGGCAGTGGGTCCAATAGACTTTTCCCATCTCTTTGTCACATCATCATTTGACTGGACAGTGAAATTGTGGACCACAAAGGTAAGAAATCCAAGTTGGGCTGGGACAAGTAATTCTACTTGTGAAAATGCTGTTGTCAGAAATATTTTAATACTGTCTATCAAGTCCTAAGAACCAATTAATTGAAATGCTGTGATTAGAATGAGCATTGTGATACAATTGTAAGTAAAATATATAGCTACTGTAATAACCCTCAATCATATTTGCCATGGAGCATACCTTACCATTTAGGAGGCCTTCATTTCAGTGTTAACCCTAGTGCTGAGCAGTTTCACAAGGCAAGGAGATGAGGATGTCTTGTACTCCCAGCCATCAAACAATCCATTCAGCACTCCCTGTGTGCAGGCTAAACTGCAAGGCTGATATTATGCACCGTGGTGGTGCAGGAGCAGGAACAGCTTCCTCTGATGAAGCAACAGGGGAAGTGCACATACAACTTACTGCTATCAATATCACCTGCAAAATTCCCTGCTGGAGGAGGCTGTGATAGCCAAAAGGTATAAAATGTCCCAATGACATTAGACACTGGAAGCAGGGAGGAAGCACATGCTGGAACGTACATTCATGACCACCAGGGATCTGCTGCTGACGGCTCTGTGGCCGTCTGTCCGTGACCTCTTTCAGAGAGAGCAGCAGAAGAGCAGAAATGGCACAGTCCTGTGGAACTTTGAAACCCCAACACTCCATGGGACAGACTAAACAGACCAACCTGATGGATACAGTCTGAGTAAAACAGAACAATGAGATGTAAAGTCCTAATTATATAAGTAATCTAAATTTATTTTTTTATACACCAGAGTAGAGAACTGCCCTCCAAATGTCAGGTTCTTGCTTTAACCAAGTTGGTTTTATGCCTGCATTTGTTTCACATCTTGAGCTGCACCCAGCAGAGTTCCCGTACTGGAAGCTGACCACAGTCAGGAAGTATCTCAGCATGTGTTCCTCCAAGCATCAGGGCTTGGAGATGCTAGAACAGATGCACAGCAAATGTAAATATGCAAGTGATCAGAAGGGCTCATGTGACAGCCTTGTGCTGGAAAAAGAACCAGTTACCTAGATGGTAACTTGAATCAGCTTCAATAGTAGCTTCCCAGTGCTTTTGTTAATGGCTTGATCCAATGTGTGTGCTAATTAACAGGTATCTTTTCCTAATCAGCAATGACCACAGCTGTTGGTTTTGTCTTGAGCATTGCACTTCAGGAAACTCACAATGAGAAAGGTGCATGATTTACCTAACTCACATGTAACTAAATACATCACTAGACCCAACCTGAACCAATGCAAAAGTAATCCAGAGGAGTGGACATGGACAGCTGGAATGCTTCTGGGATGGTTCCTAGGTGGCAATTGTTAGAAAAGGCTGCATGATAGCCAGGGGATGGACAGCTTAAATGTTGGCTCACTGGGGCTAGATAGACTGGTGTGTGAGACAAGGGAGTCCTGGGCAGTGGTGACTTCCCTTGGGAGCAAGGGAATATTGGAGTGTTGAAGCTGAAGCTGAGTAAGGGGAGAAGAATTTGTGGGGAGTGCAGGGAAGATGAAAGGCAAGTATAGAATTCCAATCACACATGTACAGAAAAGTCTTGGACTGGTATTTAGCTGTCAGCTTGAGGCTGAATATGGCAATAAGGGTCTCATTCATCTGCAGCTTAAATGAAATTGCATTAAGGGATAATAAAGCCTGATTTTTATTTTAAACTCTTGGGATTTTAGAAGTTAGTAGTAACACTAACACAGCACATTTTGGGCACAAAGACACTGCAGATAGTAATACACAGTTATCCTTGTGGAACATTTCAGTGCCAGAATGGTTGGGTCTGATTTTGTTCAAGACAATCAGTTTTCAAAGAACCAGACCATTTAAATTTCTGATATCTATCAAGCTGTGGCTTGTCTGGCAAGAGAGGCTTCCTGAGAAAGCTGTTTGAGCTGGGCGAGCTGTGATGTGCATGTGACACACCACAGCACTGCTCAGACCTGGAAGCTGCACTGCTCTTTTGGATCACTCACTTTCTTCTGGAGCAGGTTTAAGCAGCAGCAGCAGCCCCAGGCTGCTGCCCTGCCAGCCACTGCCCTGTGAAAACATCCTCTGAGACACTAGACAAGTTCTTGAATTGTGATGAATGTTTTCTTTTTCTCCCCATTCAACTGCATCAGAAGTTTATTTCCATATTGTCTGAATAATTTTCTTGGCTGGAGCTACTACATATTTAAGGCTCTCTTTGTTCAGTTCTCATAGTCAAGGCTCAGTCAATCAGTGGGCTCTGAAAAAAAAATAGTGGATTGATATAAAGTATTAAGTGCTTCTGCTAGCTAACAAGATTTTAGTCAGAATTCATTTATTCCTTTAGTTTTTTATTTGTAAATTTAGTCTCCCTATCAGCATCCAAAGCCATATTGCTTTCCTGCTTCTACCAGCGTTGTCTGCTTAATCCTGTGCACATTATCCTCTTTGGTCATGAAATTCAATTCCTTTCTGTTTCACAGGTTCAGAGTCAATGTCCAATTGTAAAGTGAACCATAAAAGCTTTGTGTTTATATTGTCTATTGATGTTGTGTAGCATCCTGGGGTGCTTACAAGAAAGGCATTTTCATAGCAGGCATTTGACTGATGGATTGAAAGCACCATCTCCCTTAAAAACTTTCACTTTACATTTTATAATGTTTTTGTGGTTAACACATTTTCTAGCTAAAGGCAGTTCAGCCAGGTGACTGAGAATAAGATTTTCACTAGCGGATGAATGAGCGTTTTGTAGATAGCACTGACACAAGGTTCATATTATCATCCATCACATTAGCCAAAAATTAGATCCCTGTGTGAATAGCAAGCAACCAGAAGCAACAGGAAAAGAAACAGAATTTGCAAAGATAGTTGCTTGATAACCACAGCATTACCTGGTTCCTGATGAAGTTAATAGGGCTTTCACCTTGAATTTGTGCTACACCATGTGAGCAAGTCTGGGATGCAGAGCTGTCAAAGGGAAGTCCCGATGTGAAGTGTCTGTGGAGCTCTGCCCTTAATTAGGTAGTGTCGGTACGATGCTTTGAAGAGGTAAAGTGCTAAGTGGAAATGCTAAGTGTTGTTAATTAATTAAACACTAATCCTCATGAATGAATAGCATGAGGTTAAATAATGAAATGTAAGTATTGTTATTATTACAGCAATTGCTGTTTGGAGAGCAAATTTTTTGATATTGTGTCAAGAGATGGAAGCTGTCTTGGAATTGTTAAAACATAGCAAAACATAAGCTGGCTTCAGCTAAAGCCTAGAAGATGGTTTGTTTGCTGCTAAGGGAGTTAATAAGGGTCTGGACAGACAGCTGGATTTTGTTAGCTTTTTCATCCTTCACATGCCTTCTTTAGCTCTTATCCTTCCACTGAGGGGAGGTGCTAATGACTAATTTTCTCCTCTTGCACCTATGCCTAAGTTGTGCTCAGATGGGCAGAGATTGGAATAACTGTAAAACATTGCTCTATCCCCATCCATGCTGGTCTCCCTCCGCCTAATGTTTAAGTAATGGTGGTAATGCCAAAATCAGAAGGAGGCTCAGAGGTGAGCAGACTGGTAGTAGGGCCACCACATAACCATTAGCAGGGTCTACTGGAGCCTGAGGTCATGTGTGCCCCCAGTGACAGATCACCCACTGTGTGTCTATGCTCAGTTTTTCTTTGCTAGTATGTGCATCAATGGTAGTGCCTTCCTCGTGCCTCTCCTTTCTCTTTTTTTTTTCTTATGCTCTTCACATGCTGCTCTTCTCTTCTGTATGCTCTGCTATTCTAGTCTGTTGAGTTTTTTTGAGAAACCACATTTTAAACAGCAAACATTCCCATTTCTATGCTATGTGCCTTCACATACATCTCTGTACCTTGAATGTCTTATGTCCATGTGCTTGCTGACAACCTGGGTACAACCCAGTCCTCCTGTCTCTTGGAGCAAATCATTTTACCTGTTATATCTTCCTTTCAGCATGTAACTTCAGACTCCACTGGTTTTCATTTGGTCTAGAGTTGAACACCATCTCCTCCAAGGTCCAGCTGAAGCCTACCTTTAGAAAAATGCAAAGAAGCATGTGGTGGTGGTGGTGGTGCTATAGACCTCTATAGGTACCTCTGCCCTTCCCTAAAAGCCTTGCTGATAGGATCTGATCAGATCCACCTAATAGACCAAATTTACTGTGATGGAAAAGGGTGTTGCAGAATGAACCAGGGCACTACTTGATGGTCACCATTGGGCCACATCTTCTCATATTATCATGTAAGGCACTTTAGATGACTCTTCATATGAAGTTGGATTCTCCTGCATCTTTTATTACGCAGAGCTTTCACACTTTGGTTTCTTATGCAGCCACTGGAAGCAGTAACAGTACTGCATACATTAGACCCCTCTTGGAGAGACCACCATTCCTGCCCACCACTGTCTATGCAGGAGCCCAAGTCTGGCAGATGATCAGTTGCTGTAGCTTTTGGTGGCTTTCTTGCATCTGGGCAGCCTCAGGCCATGTCTAAATCGGCAGACGTGTCAGCACTTTGGAGCTCCCAAGTCTGTCTTCGTATCCTGGCTTTTCCCAAACCACTACCAGGAAGGAATCAGCCTCTTTATCCCATACCACATGCACATATACATATGACCCTTGATTTGCAGCCAGAATCCTGTGGAATCCTTTACTTCTCCCTCTGACTGATTTTGGTGGGTCTCAAATGTCTACCTCAAGGGACAATTTCCCTCCTCTTATTTTGGATACCTGACTAGAATGGTCTCCCTCACTGATGCATTACCACACAAAGCTCCTTCTTTTCTCTTTGATAAAAGCAATTAAAATTATTGATTTGATTAATCACTGCCCAAATGTTAATTTTATCTGATTAGAGGGAATGACAAAGGGTAATAAAATAGCATGCTGGGATTTCATGGAAATGATCTCTCTGTGGTGTGAGTTCAGAATTTTGAGTTTGATCCAAAAACAAGTCAATGAATGAATTTGCTTCAGAGCACACTTTCTGTCAGAAGGCCAAGCTGACTT